CACACACACACACACACATTGGACAACAGCCTCCAGAACTGCCATCCTGGTAGGGGTTTTCTTGGCAGGTTTCTTCAGAGGGGTTTGCCAATGCCTTCCCTGGGGCTAAGAGAGTGTGAATTGCCCAAGATCATCCTGTGGATTTCCATGGCTAAGCCGGGATTTGAACCCTGGTCTCCCAAGTCCTAGTCCAATACTCAAATCACTATGCCATGCTGGCTCTTCAGGAATGCTTACACTGTAGTCTCAAGTATGCCTAAATTTCAAATCTGACTTGTACATTTTCTTTTGTGTTCAGCAGAATTCTTTTGGAAAACCAGTGTTTTGAATTGTCTGTTGGTAGGCAGGTAGATTGATTGAGTCAAGTTTAAGGAGCAGCAGTTACATCAAGAAAAATATGCTAGTTTTGTGATTGTTTGGTCCATTGTATAAATAAAACACAGCTTCAAATTGGATTTATGTGACTTTTTATAGGTAACTATGCTTAATATATATTAGTTTATTTGCTATATATAAAAAACAGTAGAGAAAAAGAGCAAAGAAATCAATCTTTATTACTACCAACATCCTGCAAGGGCAGCAGTTTTTATCAGTGTGTCATCATCTCTTTATTATGGATGGAATGAATGGAGCAACCTGAATCCCAAGGAGAAACTCCTCAGGTATATAATACTTGTGATTCTTTGCCTTTACAACAAAATAATTATTTACAATGCATTCCAAATGCTTGGATAAAATATGCTTCTAATTGCATCTTGACCCAACAATGAACCTCTGAGATATTTTGTTTGTTTATTTAGACAACTTAAGGGCCACTTTTGGATGAAAATTCTTAAACTGAGATAGATGTGTAGTGTGTACACATAGCATACAGATAGTTGGAGTATTACCTCACATAGAGATGGTAATACATACTCACATGCACTGAGAGCTTCATGGGAATCATCTTACAGTAGCAATTGTTTTCATTAAGTTGGTTACTGTAAGAGCCCTGGTGGTGCAGTTGTTAGATGCCTGTACTGCAGCCACTCACTCACAAACCACAAGGTTATGAGTTCAGTATCAGCCAAGGGCTCAGGCTCAACTCAGGCTTGCATCCTTCCGAGGTCACTAAAATGAGTACCCAGTTTCTTGGGAGCAATTAGCTTACACATTGTAAATCACTTAGGGAGTGCTTAAGTGTAATGATAAGTGGTATAGAAATGTACTTGCTATTGCTATTGCTAAGTGAATTCTAGGATTCAAGGGACAAGATATAAATGTACTTTTCAGAAGCCCATGGAAATGAATACTGGCAATACCCAGTGGATACCAAGGGCCCACTGTACTATTTTAGGTGTGGTAAGAAATAGGCTTCTATCAATGCTTCTGGAGATCTGTCAATGCTTCTGGATGTTTCAGTCAAACTATCTTATGCATTTCTGTGGGTGTCTCTACCTTTCCATGGTGAGACTGAATGGGTTATTCTGCTGGTAGCAGTGATGCTGGTAGGATCAAGCATGTCAGACAAGCTTGTGCTGAAGAACCAGACTAAATATGCCAAACAGCTACTGACCTAGTGGCGTGTGTGGTGTGTGTGTAATACTGGCAGAGGATCTCTCAGAAACAGTGGCAGTAGTACCATATCTAATGCTTGTTAGTGGTGTGTGGAAAGATGTACTGGTAAACCACTTTTGAATGTGTTTTACCATGAAAACCCTGTGATGAGACAGCCCAGCAAATAAGAGTAACCCTGTGTCTAATGAGGATATCCAGAGTAGCCATGTTGGTCATATAGAAAAGTACAGTATCATCCAAAATCCATAAGACAGTGATACCTTTATTGGGTCAATCAAAATGTGTAAAATATATAATGTAACAAGCTTTAGAAGTTCTACTAGTTTCTTCATCAGGTGAAGGTGTTAAAGAGAGAATTGGTGTGTAAATGAGCAAGCTCTGGGTTTAGTTAATCCACCAGTGTGTGAGACTGGAACAAACATAACACCTGGAAATTGGTGTATACTTCTCTGATTGGATTGCCTAGCCTTCCTGAAATGTGTGTGCGTGAATCATCCCTCTTGCAATTCCTAACTGCTGACATGGCCTCACACTTAGGGGCTTATGGCAGGCCCATCCTGGGTCATGAAGGAGTGAATCTCACTATGTTTCTTATGTTAAAATGGAAGATGTTCAGCCAATCGTAACACAACAAAAAAGGTAGAATAAGAGACATCTTCTGCAAGATCTAAGAAATTAAAGGGTAGTTTAAACCAGGAATGGGGATCCTATAAGACCAGCAGTGTAACACACTACATGACCTAGAAGAAATAAAGAACAAAATACAACAATGGGAACACTGGATTAGACTCAGAACATTCCCTAGAAGCTAAGCTGGGCCTTTGCAGACTGCCTGAAATAGTGTAAATTGAGTCAATTTTAACTGCCCTGACTCAGTGCTAAGGAATTATGGAACTGTAGTTTATTGTGGCACCAGAGCTCTCTGACAGAAAAGGCTCAATGTCTCAGAAAAAAAATACAGTTCCCATGATTCCTTAGCACTGAGCCAGGGCAGTTAAAGTGGACTCAATTTGCACTATTTCTAGCAGTCTGCAAAGGCCCTGGACATTATGAGAAGACATGCCTCACTAGAAAGATAATAATCCTTGGTCAAGTGGAAGACCATGGGAAAGGGGAAGTCTGCATTAGATGTGGATAGACTCAATCAAAGCAGCCATGGCTCTGAGTTTGCAAGACTTGGGTAGGACTATTTATTTATTTAAGAGTGATTTAGAGGTTTCTCATTCAAAGGATTGCCATAAGTAATACTTGAGAACAATTAACAACAATACCTATAGAATAAAAGTAATGGTATTGTACATAGTGCAATAATTATTATTTAGAAGTCTTCGGGAACTAGCTGCCTCGGCAGACGACTAATAGAGTCGTCTTCCGGGCAGGGAAGAGGAGGGGCAGCCGCACGTTCGGCGCCCCTTCCTCTCCCTGAGGTCGCCCCTGGAAGCGTCGGCCATCCGCACGGCCGGCGCTTCCAAGGCAACCTCCCTCCGCAGTGACCGGACGCGCTGCGGAGGATAAGTCAGGGAAAGTGCGCCCTACGCTTTTAGGGTGCACTTTCCCTGACTTATGAAAGGAGCGCCAATTTGGCGCTCCTTTCAGGGACGCTGTCGGAGCACCGCGGTGGGGCTGCCATGGCCCCGCGGCGCTCCGGACCAGGGCGTCCAGGACGCCCTGGTCTGCATCCCCCCCAAATGTGATGTTATTATAATTGGATCTCCACATCCATGGATTCATTATTCACAGATTTAAGCATCCACAGCTTGAAAATATTTAATATATATATAAATTCCAAAAAGCAAACCTTGATTTTGCCATTTTATATAAGGGACACAGTTTTACTATCCATAGTATTTAATGGGATTTGAACATCCCATCCACTGGGGTGGGTGGGTCCTGGAACCAAACCCAGTGGATACCAAGGGCCCACTGTACTATTTTAGGTGTGGTAAGAAATAGGCTTCTATCAATGCTTCTGGAGATCTGTCAATGCTTCTGGATGTTTCAGTCAAACTATCTTTAAGGTAGCTTATAACAGGTTGCAATATTATATACTCCCAAACACAAAGAGAGAGAAAGAAAGACAGAGTGAATGTATGAACCCAACAATTCTTAGTGTTGTGGCTGCTGGATGGGACTAGAACATGTTTCCCTTCAGTTTTTCAGTTTCAAGGTAAACAGCAACATGGTTTTCTTCAGGGACAAAAAAAAGATGGTTCTCTGAAGCTGCCCCTCTGCCTGATGGGAAAATAATTAATTTCCCCTTTGCTGTGATGTTTTTCTGGAGGTGATGCTGCCTAATATCCCTTGATTGATAATAGAGGCAAAGTATGATTCCTTTCAATTTCTGGGGCAAACAACCATTTGATCAATCAACAACAACAACAGAGATGTATTTAATCAATGAATCTACCTCATTGCTGTAAGAGAAGGTGATTTTTTAATATTCCTTTTTCATTTTGTATACACCCTCAAATTATGCTAAATTTGAAAAACCAAACAATTTTGACCTTAACAATCAGTCTTTTGATGGAAATTGGGCCTTACCAGTTAATCCATGGCTTGCTTGATTAATCTTCTGATAAAACCATTTTAACAGTGTAGCTTACATCTCTAATAAAATATACAAAACAAATGTATTACAAATATGTTGCAATTTTAAATTTATATATCTGCATTCCTATATAGGATGCAAAACTTTTATGGCATACTTCATGGCATACTCCTTAGTTTGTGACAACTATTTATTTGAATATAATTGCTTTTCTTCCTTTTGGTTTTTGAAATCTGAAGTCAGGCATTTCTGAAATCTAAAGAGAGAGACAAAGGGTCTTTGCAGACTGCCAGAAATAGTGCAAATTGAGTCCACTTTAAGGGTTAGGGTTAGTGCTAGGGAATCATGGGAATTGCTTCCCCCCCCCCCCCCCCCCCCGAGACATTGAGCCTTCTCTGTCAGAGAGCTCTGGTGCCACAATAAAATACAGTTCCCATGATTCCCTAAACCTAAACCTAACCCTTAAAGTGGACTCATTTTGCACTATTTCTAGCAGTCTGCAAAGGCCCAAAATCTGTGTTTAGGAAAGTTATTTCCACCTCTGCAAAGAATGAGCATTTAATGGGAAAACAACAACATATTCTGTACCATACACTGGTAGTTAGAATCAGCTATACTCAAGTACAATGTTTGTATGTTAATGATATTTAAAAAAAAACCCTATCAATTCCATTGCAATGAACTGATTCCCTAGCAAAATTGAGACTGACAACAATGCAGAAACCTATGAACCAAGGGGCAGGACATC